AGGAATCTTTTAATTTCCTCTTTATTTCATCAATGACCCATTCATCATTGAGCAATGTGTTGCTCAGCTTCCAATTGTTTGCATGTTTTTTTTACTGTTGTTTTTGTTGTTGAGTTCTAGTTTTAATGTATTGTGATCAGATAAAATGCATGGTATTATTTCTATTTTCTTATATTTGCTGAGGCTTGCTTTGTGACCTAAGATATGATCAATTTTGGAGAAGGTTTCATGGGCTGCTGAGAAGAATGTATCTTGTGCAGAAGTTGGATGAAATATTCTGTAGACATCAGCTAGGTCCATTTGATCTATGGTGTGATTTAGTTCTAGGATTTCTTTATTGATTTTTGTTTGGATGACCTATCTATTGCTGATAGGGGGTATTAAGGTCTCCCATTACCACTGTTTTTTTTTAAAGGATTATGATTTTTTATTCATATGTGCATAAAATGTTTGGGTCATTTCTCCCTCCTTCCCCCACCCCCTCCCTTACCCCCCCTCCCCCTCGATACCCGGCAGAAACTATTTTGCCCTTATCTCTAATTTTGTTGTAGAGAGAGTATAAGCAATAATAAGAAGAAACAAGGGTTTTTGCTAGTTGAGATAAGGATAGCTATACAGGGAGTTGACTCGCATTGATTTCCTGTGTATGTGTGTTACCTTCTAGGTTAATTCTTCTTGATCTAACCTTTTCTCTAGTTCCTGGTCCCCTTCTTCTATTGGCCTCAGTTGCTTTAAAGTATCTGCATTAGTTTCTCTGCATTGAGGGCAACAAATACTATTTAGTTTTTTAGGTGTCTTACCTATCCTCATATCTCCCTTGTGTGCTCTCGCTATATCATGTGATCAAAGTCCAATCCCCTTGTTGTGTTTGCCCTTGATCTAATGTCCACATATGAGGGTGAACATACGATTTTTGGTCTTTTGGGCCAGGCTAACCTCACTCAGAATGATGTTCTCCAATTCCATCCATTTACCAGCGAATGATAACATTTCATTCTTCTCCATGGCTGCATTAAATTCCGTTGTGTATAAATACCACATTTTCTTAATCCATTTGTCAGTGGTGGGGCATCTTGGCTGTTTCCATAACTTGGCTATTGTGAATAGTGTTGCAATAAACATGGGTGTGCAGGTGCCTCTGGAGTAACCTGTGTCACATTCTTTTAATTCTCAGTGATTTTTTTGCAGGATTTCTTTTTTCAGGGTTCTTGTGGGTTTTGTTGGGCTTCTTGGGATAGTCTATCTTTGTTTTCTTGGAGTTTGGAAGTGGGTATCTGTTTTCTTCATTTCCCTCTGAATCCTGTACTAATTTATTTTTTGGGGGTATGGTTTCCATCCCTTTTTCATCTTCCCATCATTCCACTTGGTGCTGTTTCTGTCCCTGTTCTGTGTATCATTTAGTATTAGCTAACTTACAATATAAAACTAATGAAATCAAGAAAGAAAGAAAAAAGAAAAAGAAAGAAAAGAAAGGAAAAAATTAAAAAAAATAGAGAACCAAAGAAATCAACAGGGAGACATGGTGGACTAACCTACAGTTAACAAGACAAGCACTTAGAGAGAAAGAGAAAAAAGAAAAAAAAAAAAGAGAACCAAAAAATCAATCAGGGAGAGATGGTGGACTAACCAACAGTGAAGAAGACAAGCACTTGAAAGAAAGCAAAAAAAGAAAAATAAAAAAAAATTAGAAAACCCAAGAAATCAACAGAAAGAGATGGTGGACTAATAAACTGTGAATAAGACAAACACTTAGAGATAAAGAGAAAAAAAATCCAGGTTCAGGAACAATAGAATTTCAGTCTTAGTACTTCTGGTGTTAATTCTTCAGTATCCAGTCATGGTGTTGATATTTAAGCAGTAGGTCTATCATAGTCTCACTGGGTGGTTGGGTCAGGATACAGCTTTGTGAACTGCTATCTGCCCTATTTCAGGTGGCTCATGTGCCACCTACTGCCAGCCGGCTACTTTTGCAGGCTCTGTTTACTGAAAGTTCATGCAGAGAGCTGCCTCTCCACCTTCTTTGCTGCACTCAAAGTACCCCACCATCTTTTCTGTGTGTCCTTTTCAGTTCCTTGTTTATTATTCAGTTTTTTTTTTTTTTTTGCAGGGCAGGGGTCAGTCTGTCTAGGGGGCTATGCTGGTTTATTCCAGGGGTGGCTGTGGGAGTATCATGTGCCACTTATTTGCTCACCTGTTGGTGTGAGTTTCCCAAGCCTGTTTGGAGCCTGCATCTGGCAGCAAGGGAGCCCTCCTGTTTTCTCAGTGGATTGTGGCATGGAGTAGCTTTGTTTGGGCTGGGGGTTCGGAGTGTTGGTGTTTTGTTTATTCTTGGTGGTTTTTTCCTGCCAAGAGTGGCTCCAGTATCTCAGCAAAATTTTTGATTTACAGAGCTCATGTTGTCTGCTTCCTCCCTCTAGTTGCCATCTTGGATCCTCTCTATTTTCCACTTCTGATGCTTCCAGGTGACTTTCCTATGGTCCTGCAGTCAGAAAATTTCACACAACTGCTGGAGCTGTGTAGCCTAAGAACTCTTTCAGCCACAGACCCATGGCAAATATCTCTAAATGTGATTTTAAAGAGCAAACTTTGTATCAAGATATAAGACTGACTTTATATGTCTAATGGAAAAATTAATATAATATTACCCAAGAGTTGGCATAGGAGAAATATGTAAATAGCATAAAAAAGATTTTGAAAAATTTGGGGGTAATTGCTTGATACCTTTTTATTAAAGGAAAGCAATATTCTGGGGACAGAATTTATATTACATTACTACTGGCACTTAAAGAGGCCAAAGCATCCTTGAGGAGACACAATTCTTGGTTCCTAAAGTGGATACAGAATAGAGTCCTGGATGGCCCTTCTGGTGATGAGATGGCTATTGGGTTCACATTTAACCCCACTGACCAGGCAGAGGTGTCAAGGGATACTGGCCAGAGTAGATGATTTCTTCTTGAGTTTCCTGGAAGGAGTGCACAGCTTTAATTTTCTACTCTGATGGAACTGAGGATGTCCCTTGTAACCTTGACCTATATAAATGAGTTTCTTTATGCCCTCTATCCACATGGTGTCCACATTGGCCTAATGTTAAATGGCCTGACTTCACAGAGGTCTCCTGCAATTATTCAGGTGAGGCACCCTGGGATAAGGTGTTTGAGTTGCCTCCTGCTAAGGCTAGACTAGTGGTGGGTGGCTGTTCTGAGTAATATAGGAGGAATATGGACCATACAGAGAACTCTAGAGAAGGCTGGGCCAAGAGGAAGCAGCTGATGAAATTTTAGCCAATCAGAAAAAGGAATCTAAGATGACGCTTTTGTTGCTAGTTGAAAAGTCTGTGTGAAGAGGCCTGTGAGAGTAGGAAATCCCCTGTCTGACTCAGCCTTGGCTTCACAGTCCTAGGATAAAGTTGAGGGAACTTTCCCCCTTAGAGCAAGAGTAGGGCAGGGCAGATCCCTCTTCTTATTCTGAGCTAGGGGTTCTGGTTCCTGAGATAGGGTCTGGGAACACTGAGGGCATCTTCAAGGTCGCTGTGCTTTCTCATCTCCCAACCATATTCCTAGTCTGGTTGATGTTGAATCTTTCCACTTTCAATGCTACAGTGGAGAACTCCCTAATTCTGGGGCACACCTGGTCCTGAGCACTGCTGGTGGGAGCTCTCCCAAGACCTTCCCAGTCCCAGGTGCTCTGCATCTATGCATCCAAAACACAGTGTTGGGAATAACCGCATGCTGTCATGTGTCACCAACAGAAGCTTCTTGTTTTGCTTTTTCTCTACTCCTTTTGCTTGAATATACTCCTTATATTCTGTTTTAGACCCTGTCCTGTTTTAAAAGGATAATCTAAAATAAAGGAAAGTGGTAGAGGCATGGAGAGAGAGAAGGTAGAGGGTGATATTTTCTGTTTTATTTAGAATAATCATTAGTTTTTGTCAGGCACTGTTCTAATGGATTTGCAAGAGGAGCCTGATGAAAAAGGCATTTATTAGCAGAACATCTTGACAATTCTGCCATTCAGGATTTGGTGTTCAGGGCAGGCACAGTGCAACATGCAAGTAAACATTTCCTCCCTTGTTAACACTGTCTGGCCCCAGAGAATGCTTCTTCATGCCTTTTACTTTTGTCTTTGAAACTAAAGGTGGCTGTATCTAAAAACAGTGAAAGTTTGTAGTTTTCCATTGTTGACATCACATGGGTGTATTTCATGGTTGTGGAGAAGTTAGGCAGCAGAAAATCTTAGAGAAAAGTAAGCTTAATTAACTTTCCAAATATTTTCCAGTTAAATATCATGAATACAATACATTCTTTTTACCCCATTACATTCTTGCATAAGGAAAAATCAGTTGCCAAGGGGGCTGGCTGTTACTTTTTTCTTTTTTGTTGTTGTTGCACATATTAACCTGACAGTTCCAACAGTTAATCTTGACAATTGGGGAACATTTTGCAATATTAAGCAAGTCTTAAATGTGTATATATGAAGATGTAGGTGAAAAATGTATGAAATGTGATGCACATTTCACAAAGAAGTCAGAGATTAAAAAGAGGTTTAGTGATTTGTTAACTGTTACAAAGAACTCGGCTTTTCTCAACACAGCCTAAGGCTCCTCAGTGTTTAACATAACAAAAATGAACCTTTCTGTGCAAATAATTTTCTGTCACCTGAAATATGATCCCCACTATTTTTTCCTACTAACAATCCCCAAGCACAACAGTAGGTTTTAAATAAACATCACCAAGTTGTCTACATTTGAATCACTTTTCTCTTTTGGTTCTTTAAACCCCTAAGGCATTCAGTCTTCAGATCCAGGCAAGTATTTTCTATAATTGAGAGGAAACCTTAACCTCAAATGTTTCCCCAGTGCTACACAGGTCAGGCACTGGACAGAGAGCCTTCATAAAAACGTCTGCCTGGAGACAGATGAGGAAATTCAGCTCCAACGCTGATTGGTTTCTCTCCTAGGTATTCACAGGCATTCATAGGTTTTTATTCTCTGAAGAGGGTATAGCAGGTGTGAGTTGTGTGACTGCATTACTTCTTCCTTTGTTCTCAGTTATGTCTGGCAAGATGGCTGTGTGCATCCCCAGAGGACTCTGTGCAGCAGCTGTGGTGGTGGTGGTGCTGATGGTGTTCAACCCCACCCAGGGCAGAGACTCTCCACGTAAGTGCAGGGCAGCTGCTCTCCAGAGCCACAGCTGCTCTCCAGAGCCACAGCTCTGGAGTACAGGCTCTGAGTGACCCTGGAATGAGGGGGTGGTGAGCTCCATGATGCCAGAACAGTCTTTTATAGATTTCCTGTCTTTGGGAAAGAGGGCTATGTCAAATTCTCACGTCCATCTTCTAAGATTGAGATGAGGACAAGACCCACCCCACGGCCTCAGGCCTGAGGGTGTTAAAATAGAGGACACCAAGTTATCTACTACCCATGACAGGACAAAGGGAGCAAGGGATTATTTTTGAAGAAAGTAAATTTATCCAAAAGACACAGCAGGATTTGTTAATCCAGGGTCCTCCAAGAACTTTCTGGAGTAAATGCTATATGAGCTTTTGGGTTGGGAGTACAATAGTCTTTGTAGTCTCAGTATTTGAGGAAAAAGCCTTTATATTTGTGACTCTGAATGGAAGTCTCAGGGAGGCAAACTCTAGGTATTTGAGTGAAGCCAACAGACAGGGAGTGTTAGCCTTAACTTTCACGGATGTATGGTTAAATAATGAGTGGGATTCAGAGATGGCTGGTGTTGGGCTGCATTTAGAAGAAAGAATTAGGCACAGAAGAGAAATTTCTAATACATTTCAGACACAGAATAGTACTTTATATACATTCTTTCTCGGTCTTTGCAACACCTCTGTGTAGGTATTATGGTTTTCTTTTTACCCAGTTTTACTTACGACACGGGTACGGTTAAGTTACCTGCCCAACAAGATACTTCTCACGCTTGAATTGGAACCTATCTAATTTTAAAGCTGTGTTCTTCCGTGAATAAATTTTTCTTTCTAGAGTTGGGAGGTGTAGGTCTTTTCCATTTGCCAGTGGGCTAATCTCACACTGTACTTGGATTGGGGGTAAAGGGAGGGGGCAGAAATAGAGAGGAAGGCGTGGGAAGGAAGATATTTTGCTCAGGGACCAAGGGAATATTTTTATTAGGATTAAGACAGCTTAGTTCCTAGATCTTCTCTTCCTTCCCTTGAACTCTCAAGCTTTTGTGGGTACCAGTTTGTGTCGGGGGTCTGTGGAGAGAGGATCCACGCGGGAAAGCTGTGATCCCTGAGCGCAGAGATAACCCGACTCCTCTTCCTGGGTTCACAACCCCAGGCTGGCCGTGGGAGTCGGGCTTTCCTCCCCTATGTGGGCAGGGGTCCAGGCCCCGGGCTCGTCCTCAGAGCTGGACGCGGGCGGGCCCAGGCGGCGCTGGGCGCGGGGTCCAGGTCCCCCTGGGCCCTCGGGTCCCGCCGCCAGGTCTCGGGTTTTCCGTCATCCGCCCGGCCTGGGCGGCTCCGCGGGTCACGGCGACTGCGGGGAGCTGGGGCGGCGGCGGCTGACCCCCGTGTCCCCGCAGAGGATTTCGTGTACCAGTGTAAGGGCCAGTGCTACTTCACCAACGGGACGCAGCGCGTGCGGGCTGTGGCCAGATGGGTCTACAACCGGGAGGAGTACGTGCGCTTCGACAGCGACGTCGGGGAGTTCCGCGCGGTCACCGAGCTGGGGCGGCCCGACGCCGAGTACTGGAACGGCCAGAAGGACGTCCTGGAGCGCGCGCGGGCCGCGGTGGACACCGTGTGCAGACACAACTACGAGGTGATGGAGATCCCCGTTTCCCTGCAGCGCCGAGGTGAGCCCCGTCCACCCTCGTCCCGCACAGTGGCCAGGCTGTCCCCGGCCTGTCCCCGGCCTGTGCCCCACGCCTCCTGTCGCCCGCCACAGTCCTGCCTTTGTTGTCTCATCATTACTCATCCCGGGTCTGTTTTCCTTTACGTGTTTTTAATGGCTGTTACTTGTCCTGAAGCTCTTTGAGAGGCAGCTAGTAATCAAACTCACTTGAGTGTTAAAAGAAGACTTGAGAGAGAAAAGAAAATGAGAGAACAAAACGCATCCTCTAATCATAAAACAAGATTAAATACCAAGTTTCACACGGAAGAAATAAGGGAATGCAGTAAAATAATTTGAGAGATAAAAGGTTAAGATAAGTAAAGCAGGCAAGGAAGATGTGTCATAAATGACCCTAAGAAACAACCTGACAAATTTACCTGATGTTTTATTGGTGTTATTTGTTTTGAAGGTTCCCATACTTTTCTTCAAAAAATACAAACTTTTAGTTGGGAGTGGTGACTCACACCTATAATGCCAGTTACTCAGGAGGTAGGGATAGGGAGGCTCACAGTTGGAGGCCAGCAGGGGCAAAAAAATTAACGAGACCCCATCTCAATAGCTAAGCTGGGCATGGTGGCACATTTCTATAATCCCAGCTACATGAGAGTTTATAGATAGGAGGATTGTGGTCTGAGGCCAGCCCGGAGCTAAAACAGGAGACTCTACTTGAAATATAACTAAAAGCATAAATGGAAAGAGGCAGAGGCATGACTCAAGTAGTAGAGCATGTGCCTGTTGAGCAAGTGTGAGGCCCTGAGTTCAAACCCCAGTACCACTAAAAACTATAAACTTAGGAAATAACATTCATTTTTTTGGTCTCTGTTAGATTGCAAGTTCTATAAAACCAGGGACTATGGGTTGTTGTTTATCACTGTTTTTTCTTTCTTCCTTTTTTTTTTTTTTTTTTTTTGGTGATGCTGGGGTTTGAACTCATCATCAGTTTGGTGATGCTTGCTAAGCATCACTTGAGCCATTCTGAAAATTAATTTTGCCCGTTTTGTGAGCGCTTATGTCTGGCCAATTACTGTGCCAAACGCCGTTGGTTGTGCCCAACCCGTGCGTTAGGGATTAGCATCACTACTTTGTATATATTCTAGTAGTGGTGCATGATAAAAAGTCCAGGCAATTATCCTACAAGTACTCAGCAAGCCTTGAAGGATCCTGAAAATACACAGCAGTCATTCTGTCCTTTTCAACATGGATGCAAAATCTAACGGGGGTGAAGCCTTGTCAGAGCCAGCGATGGCCGAGCAGCAGTGAGTTTGTGCCTGCTTGCAGTCATGGTGAGACTCAATGGTGCTTGCAGGGAATCGAAAACTTACTGATTAATCAGTCCTCAGTCTCACCTCACCTTAGTTTTACACATCCACAAAACCTTTAAATTTATCCCTTCTTGCTGTCTTCTAACCTACATCTTAATGTCACCAAGTATCTATATTTTTTCTACTCCAGTTCTACATTACGAAAAAGTTATTCTAACATCTTTCTCATGAATTTGTGCCTTGAGTTTTACTTCTCACGTATTTAAGATGAACACATTTTATAAGCCCCTGTGACTGAGTCCAGGAAGAACAGCCTGAAGAAGGCTTAATGTCTAAACCGAAAACACGTTTCCTTCTGGTGATGGCTCAGGAGTGCCGTTTAATCAGGTGTGGAGACACCTGCCCACCGGCCCCTCCCAGCTACACATACGCAAGACACTCTCTTTAACCCAGGCCCACCTCTGCACGAATCTCAGAATGTGTTCTGTAGAGCACATGCTGGATAATGCCTGATCTCAGAACAAGGAAGGAATTCTTCACAGCAAGGGGATGGGATAGGGAACACAGCTAGTAATTAAATTCACGTGAGTTTTAAAAGAAAATCAGGGAGAGGGGGAAGAAAATGAGAGAATATAAAACATCCTCAAATAATAAAACACATTAAATATTTACTATAGTTTCATGCTGAGCGAACAAGGGCAATGCAGCAAAATGGTTTGAGAGGTGAAGCATAAGATCTGTGAAACAGGCAGAAAAGATGTGTCAGATTTGATCATAAGTAGCATCTGAGAAGATATTTACCTGATGTTTTATTGGTGTTATTTATTTTCAAGACACCCTTACTTTCCTTAAAAAATTTTGAACTTTTGGCCAGGCAATGTGGCTCCCAGCTATAATCCCAGCTACTCAGGAAGTAGCGATCAAGAGGCTCATGGTTTGAGGACAGCCCAAGCAAAAAATTGGCAAGACTCTATTTCAACAAACAAAATTTTCAAGTGTGGGAGCACACATCTGTAATCCTAGCTATGTGGGAGACTGTGGGTAGGTGGATTGTATTTGAGATTAGCAACAGGCAAAAGCAGGAGACTTCACCTGCAAAAGAACTAAAAGCAAAAATGAAAATGCCAGGGTGTTACTCAAGTGGTAGAGTGCCTGTCTAGCAAGCATGAGGCCCTGAGTTCAAATTTATAAACTTTTGAAATAACATTCTTTTTTTGATCTCTGTTATTAAATTGCAGATTCTACAAAACCAGGGCCCATTGGCCGTTGTTTATCACTGTATTTCCCAGTGACTGTGAAATTTATATTTGTGGGATGAATTTTAAGCCACGATTTGTAATCCAGGGATTCTTACCCTTGTTCCAAGCAGCAGCTCTTCCTCAGAGGAGTCCTTGTCTCACTCACTCCATCTTTTCCTGTCTGTTACCACAGTGGAGCCTATGGTGACCATCGCCCCATCCAGGACAGAGGCTCTAAACCACCACAACCTGCTGGTCTGCTCGGTGACAGATTTCTACCCAGGCCAGATCAAAGTCCGGTGGTTCCGGAATAACCAGGAGGAGACAGCTGGCGTTGTGTCCACCCCCCTAATTAGGAACGGGGACTGGACCTTCCAGATCCTGGTGATGCTGGAAATGACTCCCCAGCGTGGAGACGTCTACACCTGCCATGTGGAGCACCCCAGCCTCCAGAGCCCCATCACAGTGGAGTGGAGTAAGGACAACTTGGTTCTTTCACTGTGGGTCCTGCGAGACAGATGGCAGAGCTCCCTCTGTCCGTCCAGATCTAGTTTAGATGCCAAAGGGAGCCGAGAACCACAGGAGAACAGCACCTCTGCTGCTGGCAGGGACATCAGAAGAATCCTGATCTATCATCTTTCCAGATACTAAGAAGCCCACTGTACATGGTGACCCTGTAACCTGGTCCTGATACCCTGAGGGACTGTCTGTTACAGGTGGTGACTGGGTCTTAGGGCCTACAGTTATGGATATGTCTGTGTAGAGAGGCGTCCACTTAGTCCCTCTCCCTCACTCTGCCGTTGTGTCCTGGGTCTGTTGGCTGTCCTTCCCTTCCCTAGAGACGGTCAGATAGAGACTAGGTTCCCCAGCACCTCCACCTGTTGTAACTCAGGCTGGTCCTCATCCAGGGCCCTGGGGGGGTGTGGGGACATGTGGGGACACACAGTGACACTCAGGCTCTGCCCCCCAGGGGCCCAGTCTGAATCTGCCCAGAGTAAGATGCTGAGCGGTGTCGGGGGCTTCGTACTGGGGCTGATCTTCCTCGGGCTGGGCCTTTTCATCCGTCACAGGAGTCAGAAAGGTGAGGCGCTCTGGGGAAATGGGGAAGACCCTCTCATCAGGGAGGTTTGCCTCTAGGGGTAGCTCTTTCCTCTTGACCCTGAAGGAAGGACACTGGGCTGGTGGTGGGAGGAGATGGCGAAACCTGGGGGAGAAGTTGGAATCTGATTTTATTGGTTGAAAGGTGGCCCTGTCACAGAGCTACTGGTGGAGCTCATTCTAGGACTTCCTTACTGTTTATCATTGCTTCCTGGCTCCTTTCCAAAATCTCCCTCTGTTAATAGAGTCTGAGCCTCAGCTTCCCTTTCTTCCTGTGACAGTTTCACTCATTTTGGGAGATTTTAGTTTAGGGTGCTTAGGGCCTTGTAGAACATGGGTGGGAGGTAATAGAGCTCTGCAATTAAATTGCATGTTTCATTTCCTATGAGGTGTGTGAAAGAATGGCTGTTTGGGTAATAAAAACTTTCTCTGTGTTACTTCCTTTTGTAGGAACTCGTGGGCCTCCACCAGCAGGTAATTTTTCAGCCCACACCCAGTGTGTATGTGAGAAAGGGGCACATATATGAGAGAGGAGAGAATGAGGTTGGGTGTACCTGGCACAAGTCTCAGTTGTGGTCTCTTCCCTGCTGTGGCAATCAGGAGTGAGGGGAGAAGGTTGCCAGAGTCTATAGGAAACTCCAGAAATTGCGCCATAATTTTGGTGCCTTGGAGCCTGAGTCACATCTTTGGTATTAACCACCAAGGTGATGTCTATTTGATGGGGGCTACTGTCTGAAGGCATTGCCCAGTGGACAGGAAGAGGCTACAAGTGATAGAAAGAAGGTGATTGTCATCTAACTTAGTAAAGAGATGGAACCTTTTATATTCTCCAGGAGAGAGTGGTTGCTCCCCCACCTCCCACATGTGTGTCCAGCTGAAGTTCTGTATTCTTTTTAGCTAGCTTCACCTTTAAAACTTTACACTGATGTTGGGGAGGTGATAGGGATGAGCTTGGACCTCATCTTTCTCCATCTGAAGCTATAGAGGACATGGGGGAGGGTTGTCAATGTCCCCCAGGGTACCCTGTGCTGATCACTCTCCATCTTTCTGTCACAGGACTCCTGCACTGATTCCTGAGAATGTGTCATCTGAAATTGGCGATCACCTTTTTTGTGAGGTCCGCCTGTCCTTGCTCAGAGTTCTGAGCCTGTCTGTGCCTCTCTGAGATTAGAGTCCTGCAGTGGCTCCAATGCAGCCCCCGGCTCATGCCTGTGGCACCCTCCCCAAGGATCTTCCTGTGATTCTGCTCCTGCACTGACCCTGGAGTCTCTGCCTGTGCACTGCACAGCATCTACTCAAACCCCACGGTTTCCTCTGTTTCCATGTCTCCCACAGACTGTTCAAGACATGCATTGAAACTATTTGCCTGGCTGTACAGCTTTTTTTATTTTTATAATTAAACATGATTCTGATGATCTGTATCCTGAACCTCCTTAACTAAGCAGAGGAAAGAAAGCAGTATGGAATGAAAGGAGCATGTTTTGAAGTGGCCCGGCTAGCCTGTGGCCAGAGGGGCGGGGGTTGCTCCTTGAAAACACATTAGAAGAATCATGGGTCCATGTAGGGGTGGGCAGAGGGGATAGGAGATCAACTTCACATCCTTTATGGTTCTTAGTCTTTTTTTTACTTCATAAATAGGAAGTATCTTTTTTAACCTTTTTATTAGTATCTAATAGTTGTACAGGGAGTTTTGTTGTGACATTGCCATATACACACACACACACATATATATATATATATACATATATATATATATATATACACACACACACAAAGTACCCCAGCTAGACTCATTCCCATCATTATTCTCCTTCATTTTTCTCTCCCCTGCTTAAAATGACTGCAACAAGCTTCAGTGATCCATATTTACACACATATAGAAAGGAAATGGACCATTTTCACCCTCCTTTACCCTCTAACTGATACCCTCCCTTAACATGGCCTGTTTTACATTCCTGTCCTTCACTGATTGTCTGTTCATTGTTCAGAGGAGTTTGCTTTGGTATTTCACCTCTAAATTGATTGTGCTGTAATCACTCAAACCCCCTTTATTACTCTTTCTTGTCCTTTCCCTACCTTGTGTTATTCTGCAGCTGTGTGTTTCCTTGTGCCTTGTTCCTCCACAGATGCAATGTATTTCAGTATCATTAACTCTCTACCATTCTCTTCTCCTCCACCTTCTCCCCTAGTCTCCTCGAATAGTCCCCTTATTGGACTGTGTATATACGTATACGTGATGGTGCTGTATTTGTATTTGTATCTATCTTCCACATATGAGAGAAAGCATGCGACCTTTGTCCTTCCAAACCTGGCCTGCTCCACTTACGATGATGGTTCTTAGTCCTGCTGTTCAGCACAATGGCCTTAACACTACCCCAGCCTCTCTTCCAGGTTGAGTGTTGTGAAACTAAGTGTGGTGGGATTGTCTGGGGACAGACACAGTGACCTCTGGTCACTGATGCTTGAAATATGTCCTAGAAATTCACCTTGGTAGAGGCTAATTTTTATTTTTGAGAAACTATAGCTAGCAATAAAAGTACTATTTGTGGTTACAAATGATAGAAACTGAACTCAAACTTATTTTGTTCATGATACAAGGAAGTCTGGGGTCAAATTGATTTCAGAAGTGACTAGATCCAGATATTCACTGAGATTCTCATGTCTTATTCTGTTTTATCTCTTCCTGCATCTTTCTCTTCTTCCCGTGTCTCTGTTTGTCTCTTTTCATTTTTATGGTGTGTCCCTTTTCATCATCTCTGCCTTTCTTGCTGTGTCTCTTGCATTGCATCACTCCCTCTACTTTTCTCTATCTGCACTTTGCCACTATCTGCATCTATTTCTCTGTGTTTGTTTCTAAATCTCTTTCCTACAACTCTTCTGTCACCTCACATCTGTCTCTCTCTCTCTTTCATCTCTGCCTTTCTTTCTGGCGTGTTTCTAGAATGTCTACCAAAGTTTTAACAATTTTAGGAAAAATCCTATTGACCAAGCCTGGGTAATGTGCACCTGTCAAAAGCACCATCTTGTATTCAGGTTGCAGACAGCCAGAGCTGTGTTCATTCGTTTCATTAGGAATGGGGACTGGGTTTTCCAGATCCTCGTGGTGCTAGAAGTGACCTCCTAGCATGGAGATATCTACACCAGCCATGTGAAGCACCTCAGCCTCCAGAGTCCTGTTACCGTGCTTGTTTCTTGTGGATCCCCAATGCTCCCTCTGTTTCTAGATGCCTCATTGGAGTTGCCAGCTTACATGTATCCCATCATTTGTCTCTTTTTTTTTAATGGATTGGAACAATGATTTATTAAAATGCCAGAGTCCTGAAAATGATCTACGATCTCAATGATATTCTACACAGAACTAGAAAAACCAGTCCTAAAATGCTATGAAATTACATAAAATTCTGAACGGTCAACACCACTATCTTGAGGAAAAAAGAAAAGATGTAACTAAAACACAGGATGTGACATTAAAAGTTCTTATTCAAAGATGGGAAAACTTCAGCTATGGCTTGTTTTCCAAAACTATTACATGCTCTCACATTGAAAGACATGCTTCTGAGATTCACATTTCAAAAATAAAAGCTTTTTCTCTTAAGTACTATGACAGAAGAAGAAACAGCCAGTTTTATAAAGGTCTGAAGAATTTTATTCCTGGAGTCATTAAAAGTTTTAAAATCAGTGTCCTCCTTTCAGGAGGCACTCATTATTCAACTTAAATTTATCCATATAAGAAATACCTTTTAACTTTTAAAGGATCGCTTTCATTTATTTCTCTTTGAGTTATTTTTTTATTATTTTTTGCTTCATACCATACACTTTATTTATTTATTTATTTATTTTATTAAGTATTTATTCACACATGCATACATTGTTTGGGTCATTTCTCTCCCCTGTCCCCTCCCCGACCCTCTCCCCTCTTTCTCCCTCAGTTCCAGGCAGGTCCTGTTCTGCCTTTATCACTAGTTTTGTTGAAGAAAGGAGGCAAGCCTAATAAGGAAGACAAAGTGTTTTTGCTAGCTGAGTTAAGGATAGCTATACAGAAATATTCCTAGCATTGCTTTCATGTGCACATAGTACAACCCATGTTGATTCATCTCTAACTGATCTTTACACTGGTTCCTGATCCCCTGATCATGATAACCTCTGTCTCTTTAAGGTTTCTGTATTAGCTCCTCTGGAGTGGGGACATCAACCGCTTTCATGTTTTGGGTTTTCTACCTATTTCTGTATCACCCATATGTGCTCTCCCCTTGTCATGTGATCCAAGTCCAAACACATTGCTGCATTTTCCCTAGATCTAAAGTCCACATATGAGGGAGAACAAACAATTTTTGGTCTTCTGAGCCTGGCTGACCTTGCTCAGAATGATGTTCTCCAGTTCCATCCATTTGCCTGCAAATGATAAGATTTCATTCTTCTTCATGGCTGAGTAAAATTCCATTGTGTACCAGTACCACATTTTCTTTTTTTAAATTTCTTTTATTCATATGTGCATACAATGTTTGGGTCATTTCTCCCCCTTCCCCTCACCCCTTCACCCCCTATTCCCCCTTCTTATCCCTACCCCCTCACTACCAGGCAGAAACTATTTTGCCCTTATCTCTAATTTTGTTGAACAGGGAGTATAAGCAATAATGGGAAGGGACCAAGTGTTTTTGCTAGTTGAGATAAGGATAGCTATACAGGGAGTTGACTCGCATTGCTTTCCTGTACATGTGTGTTACCTTCTAAGTTAATTCTTCTTGAACTAACTTTTTTTCTAGTTCCTGGTCCCCTTCTCCTATTGGCCTCTGTCGCTTTAAAGTTTCTGCATTAGTTCCTTTGCATTGAGGACATCAAATGCTATCTTGTGTTTTTTTGGGTTTCTTGCCTATTCTCCTACCTCCTTTGTGTGCTCTTGCCTCATCATGTGATCAAAGTCCAATCCCCTTGTTGTGTTTGCCCTTGATCTAATGTCCACATATGAGGGAGAACATATGATTTTTGGTCTTTTGGGCCAGGCTAACCTCACTCAGAATGATGTTCTCCAATTCCATCCATTTACCTGCAAATGATAAGATTTCATTCTTCTTCATAGCTGAGTAGTATTCCATTGTGTATAAATACCACATTTTCTTAATCCATTCATCAATAGTGGGGCATCTTGGCTGTTTCCATAACTTGGCTATTGTGAATAGTGCTGCAGTAGACATGGGTGTGCAAGTGCCTCTGGAGTAACCTGTGTCTCATTCCTTTGGGTATATCCCCAAGAGTGGTATTGCTGGATCATATGGCAGATCTATGTTTAGATTTTTAAGAAGCCCCCAAATTTTTTTCCAGAGTGATTGTACTAGTTTGCATTCCCACCAGCAGTGTAAGAGGGTTCTTTCTTCCCCACACCCTCGCCAACACCTGTTGTTGGTGGTGTTGCTGATGATGGCTATTCTAACAGGGGAAAGGTGGAATCTTAGTGTGGTTTTAATTTGCATTTCCTTTATGGCTAGAGACGGTGAGCATTTTTTCATGTGTTTCTTGGCCATTTGAACGTTTTCTTTTGAGAAAGTTCTGTTTAGTTCACTTGCCCATTTCTTTATTGGTTCATTAATTTGGGGAGAGTTTAGTTTTTTGAATTCTCTATATATTCTGGTTATCAGTTCTTTGATGTGTAGCTGGCAAATATTTTCTCCCACTCTGTGGGTGTTCTGTTCAGTTTAGAGACCATTTCTTTTGTTGAGCAGAAGCTTTTTAGTTTTATGAAGTTCCATTTATCTGTGCTATCTCTTAGTTGCTGAGCTGCTGGGGTTCTGTTGGGGAAGTTCTTGCCTATACCTATTAATTCCAGAGTATTTCCTACTCTTTCCTGTACAACTTTAGAGTTTGGGGTCTGATACTAATCCTTGATCCATTTTGAGTTAATACTGGTATAGGGTGATAAACATGGATCTAGTTTCAGAAAGATGTCTGGAGCTTATCTCTGAGGTTATGGAGGGCCATGCTGCTGAGGAACATGACCTCTTTCCTTCTCCCTTATCCACACACTCTGTCTGAGGGGACTTTGGCAGGACATCCCTTTCCCTGACAAGGTCAGAACAGAGTCCTAGGCTTCTTTGAATCCTTACCTCCTGTAATGCAAGTCATCCAGGGACACTATACACTGGGAGGTATTGACACTGACACTTGGGGTTTTGCTCCCCAAGATTGTAGTCTCAGTCCTTCTGGAGTAAAAATGTTGAGTGGAGTCAGAAGTTTTGTCATCTTCCTCAGTGATCATTGTCATAAGATAAAAAGGAGTGACACTCTTAGGGAAGTGTGAAAAACTAGGGAGCCTCAGTCTCTACAGGTAGCACTTTGATTTTGATCTTGCAAAGGAAGGAATCAGGGCTGGAGATTAAACCAGACTCAGAGTTTAGGGAGACACTGAGATCTGGTT